TTACCTTCCACACCCACACAATGAGAACACCAATTTTATGAAAAATCAACAACAATATAATTCCAAAAAAGATGAATATGAAGAAATTTACAAGAAAATTATGATTGGAGGTTTTAGAACTTCCTCAACGACAAAAATGAGAAATTTACGAGAACCATGGATCGGTAAACCATCAAAAATCAATATCTCACATCAAATACAATTAATTCGGAAATTCAACCAAAAATTTACTTGAAGATGACAAAAGTGAAGGAATTAAAGAAGAAGTGAAGTGAATTAATCAGAGAAGTTGATCACAACAACCTCAACTCACGAAAATATAATGAAAAATTAGAAAAGACGCCATCTTGGACGCTTTCTCAAGACTAGCCAAGACAAAGGCTACAATTTTACAATTTCACTCAAATTAATAATAATTCGGCTCTGTCCAACTGTCGATTTGTGTCACCTGCTCCAGGATAGACAGCAATCTCCATAATAAAAAATAATAAATTTAACTCAAAATAAACAAAATAAATGCCAATCTGGCAGACAGTACAATTTTGCGACTACATCTCACGCTGGCTAGGAGACGACTCTACTTAAGCTTGGGCCAGTTCAACCGATATACCTGCTTGATCTTGTTTTGGGGGAGGAACCTCCCCCCAAATTCATAAGACACCGAATTTGATTAGATATCGAAGTTCTACCAGAAGTATTAAACGCTAGAATATTCTACGCACTAATTTACATAAAAATTATTTCTCAAAAACTCATAAATGGATATAAATCAATATTCTCGATATTTTAAAATTATTTTAGATTAAATGTCGTGAATTATCCCCAATGTTGGAATATTATTCACATTCGAGTATCCTTCACTGACTTCCTGTAGGTTTTGCTCGTCAGACGAGGGGGAGCTTCCCCCTCAGATCGTTCCTCACGTCAGGATACCCTGAACCATAGTTGTTCGGTAGTTGATGGCAATGGATCCTCGGTTGAAGACCTCTTCCGCTCCTATTTGAAAAGCACCGGCTTCGTAGAGGGACGACATCGTCCAATCCTCCATTCCAATGGCCTGAACGGCACGGTCTGGATGTTGTTTGGTCCCAAGAGATTTTTCTCAGGACCTCTTCTCGACTCAACCCGTTGTCGTGGAGTTATGACCGTCGGAGATGACAAATGGTATTAGAATTGGGAAAGATTTGGAGTATTTCCTTTCCCGATTCTCATGGATGAGAGAAGTCTCCTAGAGGTTAATTTTTAACAATGTTGCCTTAGAAGGAGGTCTTGATTTTCATATAAAAATGAAAATAAACAAATTTTACAAACAAAAAATGAATTACAGGTTGACGACCCGTGTCGTCATAAAACAAATGATATTCTTCTACATGAAATCGTTACTAACAGAATCATCATAATCTGCAACGTTATCCTCCATGTATGCACGCAGAATCTATTCGTCTCAATGTTAACTGCACATCTCAAGCACTTCGACGTGATGATACGGGTTTATTTTGCAACGTAGAATGTTCCGATGTGTGCCACGAGTTTCGTAAAATCGATTGGAGTTTGTTACTTGTGTGGTGAATCATTGCCTAGTCTGCTAGTCCAACAAGGATGTGCGTTTTATACTACAGCCTTGCGCTTGAGAGCGTCAATTGTATGCCATTGCTGGAATGTGAAAATCGTGATATTTACATGATGATTGAGTCGGTCGATTAAGTAACTATTGTTCAAAATTAGATGTTATTCTGCTAGCATTCATTTTCATGGATCTGATGAACAGTGGGGAATATTAGATGCATCTGGAGTGCATGGAGTTGGAGACGATGTGCAGACATGACGGAAACTCCATCAAAGTTGAAATAGATTCTGGTTTTTGTATATGGAAATACTCAGAGGTAATTTTCATAGCTGCTAGTCATCACTAAAGTTAGCTATTCCTTTTGTTGATTCTCCTTGTGTTGAAATTTTTTGGAGACATGAAGAAAGGGTTTGTTGATGAATTTGTCATGACAAAAATTATGCATGAGTTATCGATGCTCCCTTTAACCTCATATATAAGTACCAAATTTAAAAATCATTTTCGTTGTTGCCCTGCTTCTGGGGTTTCTGAAATTTTGCAAACGGTGTTTAAATGAATTCAATAATGTGTGACAAAATCTTCATAAAATTGGCTGCATTTTTTAAAAATTTTACTCGCCCGATTATCCTTAAGGGGAGACTAATAAAAGTCACGGGCTATTGGAATATGATTTCTTATACATTGAAGATCAACTATGTATGTCTAAAAATGAATAATTAGTGCAAAAAAATTACTTGTTTATTGTTCGTTTGCCCCGCAAACGCTAAAAATGTTAAAAATAGTCCAGGGCCTCGAATTTTTTAGCTACAGAGGTTTCTTTTCTTTCAAATTTTTTGACAAAATGTGTACAATAACAATTACAAATTAATTTTTTGGAATTCAGAAAAATTGTACCATTTGTGTAGAATAGTCCCAAAAATGTTTCTGAAAAAATCGAGAATATATTTTAAATGTTTTAAGGATAATTTTTCTGCATATTTTACGTGAATGGCGCAAATTTTCAAAAACTATTATTGCACACATTTTTTCAAAAATTTTGAAAAAAAAAACTTGTAGCTCAAAAATTGGAGGCCCTGGACTATTTGTAACATTTTAAACGTGTGCAGGGCAAACAAACAATAAACAATTAATTTTTTTGTACTAATTATTTGTTTTGACATATATAATGGATCTTCAATGTACGAGAAATCTCACTCCAATTGCTCGCAACTTTTGAAAAGTCTCCCCTTAACCGTCTAGCAATTGGTCTCTTATGTTCACCCCACACGTATACTTGAATATGAGTTGTATGCATTCCTTTCAAGGCTACTCCCACTTTACCTAATTCCCACTTACATCCATATCTCCCACCTCTGAAATCCAAGGTAACGGTCTAGTCAGTTGGACAGTAGCCTCCCTGATCTATTCCATCAACCCGCAGTATGTAACACTCGCCTAGATAATAATTACTCAATTGGAATCAGTCTCGTCACATCGTACGTATTGTGAAAGTTTAAACGTGCGTTGATTGTTGAAGCTCTAATGAAATACGAAGAAAATAAAACTAAAATGAGATGTAATCAAGGCATTTTTATTATTCAATTGTTTCATTTCAGGTTTGCGGCTAAAAATTCACTGGATAAATACAAAACAATTAAATGTAAAATTTTTTTATTGATTGAGATCCTTTAGTCATGTCTTAAGATATACATAATTAAGATCAAGGTTTATAAAAATTAATATATGATTCAAGAGTTTAGTTCATGGTTTACGTCCCTTCATTGTCCATCATACGAATATATTTATGATCATATATTCCGATTTAATGATATCAATATGTCGATTATAGTTGTCTCCATAATTTCTATATCAATTCTTCAACTTTTTCTTTATTCATCATTTTCTCCTAAATTTTGTTTGATTTTGTTACGTTTTTATTATTATTATTTTTACATTTTATTTATTCCATTACATATTTTCAATTAGTTTCAATAATGTATTACTTAATGCTATCTTAATTTTCCCCAGATTGAGGAGATGAATTATTATATGTTAGTGAAAATTTGGGAAAGAATAATGACGCCAATTCGTTTGGGGAATTCGCTCTAATTCTTAATATGGTGTCAAGTATTCCGAAGTCGCAGTGGCGAAATTGGTAACGCGCTGGGATAGACTTTAATAATATTTGCCGTTAGAAGGACGGTGGCGATATACAGTAGTGTATATATACACCTGTAATAATAAGAATAATAATGATAATAATAATAGTAAAATGTTATAGTTATAAAACTGAAAAATCAATTATTTGAAATAATAAGAATTCTTTTCAGGAAAATATAATGATAGTTTTTAATAATATTTGCCGTTAGAAGGACGGTGGCGATATACAGTAGTGTATATATACACCTGTAATAATAAGAATAATAATGATAATAATAATAGTAAAATGTTATAGTTATAAAACTGAAAAATCAATTATTTGAAATAATAAGAATTCTTTTCAGGAAAATATAATGATAGTTTCCCAGAGTTCCTGGTTCAAATCCAGGCTGCGACAATTTTTTTTTTCATCTTGACTAAATGTTTGTATTTGAAGATCCTAGTCGTTCCTCAATGTTTTATCCATTTTTTTACTATCAAAGAATATTTAACAATATCGGTCTTTTTAAATTTGATGAAAATGTTGGCTCATGTCATCTCTAACTTTCTAATCATTCTTATGTTATAAGTATCTAGAAATTTGATGGGCGTTGTGAAATACCACTCCATTAATATCTTTAATTATTCAAAATTTATTTTGTGTTGATTCATTTGTTATAAAAATCATTGGAACATCGTGAATATTTTCATTATCTTGACAGGGATATAGAGAAAAACAGATCCTATGGTAAAAATGATAAAAATAGCAAATATCGTATTGCAAAGATTACCTTTCCGTGGTGTTAGAAAAATAAGGAAAAATAATTAAAGTTATCCCGAAATTCATGGGATTATTTAGAATTATTGTCAGAAAAATCTATATTTCTTTACCAACGGTCGATAGACCAATTCCCCTATCATCCAACGGACAAGTTAAAGAAATATTGTACGAGAACATAAATTCTCCACAATATCTGCGATCATCAATAAAATACTAATGATAACAATTGCATATATCATAATCTATATTTCATTTACTCCCGCAATTTTTTTCACTCCAAAAATTCTCTCGCTATTGTGAACGCCTCGTAAATGCAATTGAGTTTTTCATTATCTTTTCCTCCCACATTTCGATTTCGATGAAGCAGAAAGGGAATAGGAATAATTATGTTTTTCGTATTATTCAATTATCGTTTGAAAACTGTTCCCCTGAATTTTTTAAGATAATTCGAAATAACTCCACATGTTGAGTTTTTCATTGTGAACGAACCTTGAGACACCGTATTCGGCAATCCATCAAATCCAAGATGGTTGCCGACACTAGTGGCGAAAGGTGCGGTTCCATAATTCAATTACTGATTAATATCACCAATTGATCGTGTATAAACCTATCAGAAAATAATCGTTCACCCATCCGCAGTCATTATTTCCCCTTGTCCCAAAAGTTGATTGTCAATAAACAGTGCAAAACCATGAGCACCAGGTGACAAATGGTTACTCGGTTGTGAGTGCGGCGTGCATTTATCGGTTGAAAAAAAAACAAAAACTGGATAAAAGAACATTGAATTTAAAAAATAATAATTTAGAAGTTGAATTTTTTTATTAATCAAAATTGGTCACGCATTATAAAACATGGAGAGACTTCAGGAGCAGGGCTGGTGAGTGGAGTGAAACGAGAATTGATTAAACTTTGTGTTGCAATTTTGAAGTCAATTGTTCAAACAATCAATGTGTCGATTTCATTTATTTTTTCCATTAGGTACCTATCTGAACAAGGTTTCGACCTTGTCAGTGACTCTGGAGCTGTGAAGGACACTCAGAAATTGATAAAACGTGCTCTTGATGTGAGTAAACCTCAATTATGAAAGAAAAAGCTAGATTTTGTCTATTTTCTAACAGTTCTATAATATAAAAAATCTTAAAATTATGTGCAAATGAGTAATTATATAAGTGATTTTTAATATTCTATTCCACTGAATTTTTCAAAAATTGTGGAATAAAAATGTTAAAAATTTAAAGATGAACCTGTAATGAAGTAGTAGAGCACAGGGGATAAATCAAAACATTTCACAAGAAGGAAACAATCAGTGGATGCGAGTGGAATAACTAGAAGAATTGAAGTTAGATTATCTTGCAAATATCCTTGAAAACAGTAGGTTCACACTGTTAAAAATTTTCGTCTGAATTTTTCGTGCCAAATTCCAGAACTTTTTATCGTGTTCAAGTTCCACTGAAATTTCAAGAACTCCTGTCATTGACAAATCAAATATTTCATTAATTTTCTGTTCAAATGATCTGGAAACCAATAAAAATATTTGATTTTTCAGTTCAATTATTTCGTGAAAATTGAGAAAAATCAGGAAAATTCAGAGAAGAAATGAAAACTCATGCCATTTTGTTTCTGAATATTCATTTTCCACTGAAAATTCAATCAAATTGTGAAATTTCCATCTCACTCCCACGTGAATTTCCGTGAATTCTACTTAAAACTTGAAATTTCATAACCATTTTTTCTCTAAATTCGACTCAATGTCACTCTCATGAGATTTACTATAATATCTTCTATGAAATTTCAAAAAATTTCTAACAGTGTAGAGATAAATTTTAGGAGATCATGGATCGTACTCTATGAAGGTTATATCGAGAATACCTGTCAGATTTTGCCCAGGACTTTCCAGTATCTTGTTAAATATTTCATCAATTCATCAATTGAGGAATGAGGAGTAGGGAACACTGAGATAATGGGGAAATTTCATGCCAAGTTTTACGCAAATATCTCTGGAATCGGAACGTTTAGAAAATTTGTTGCTTACTCTCTTCGTAATTCTTGTAGTTTCTTACAAAAATAAATGTTTTCATACTTTCAGTTTTTCTCACTCATTGTGCCATAATTCATAGAACAATCTGCAATTAATTAGAATGAGAAGCATCGAAAATTTTTATGCAGAGAATTTTTCCTATCCAAATTTCAGCCAATAGAATTGCACCATTCGACGTTATTTTGTGTACCCTACACACTATTTAACTGATAATTTCATTGGTAAATTTTCATGTAGTCTATATATGAAAAAAAAAATTCCTGCTCGAGCAAACCGCTCGTTCGAAATTTGTATGGAACACTACAGCTACAAAATTAATCAGGTATTTTACTCGAGGTTTCCTGTATCCAAAGAACCTATCGGGAAATACCGGAGAGTTTTCAAGCTCCCGTGGTATAATAAGTGATTATTTTTACCTGAATCACCGAAATGATTCGTCAGTCTTTCGAATGATTAGTAGAAAAAGTTGAGATAATTAGAAAATTTTACACGAAGTATTATACAAATATCCTTGGAACTAGCATGTTTGAAGAAGAATGTTACTGACCTGTTCTGTACTTAACGAAATTTATTACAAAGAAGATCTCTTAGTACAATAAATCAAAAAATTTTATATAAACTATTTTGGAAATACTGCGAAATCTGCAGATTTCGCTTTTTTTGCTTTGCAGGCAATTGTTACAACACTTTTTTCGAACAAAATTTTCTAAAAAAAAGTTCTTCCATAATTTCACCCAGTATTTCATTTTATCGGAACATTAAATTCAGTAGAAAATTGGTAATGAATTAATACGAAGAAAATGGTCAAAATTACACGATGAACATCTTGTGACTTCTTCTGACAGCCCTTGGCCTTATCGAAAATATTAAGGGGACTACTGTGAGTTTTTAAAGTCGTGGGTTATTGGAGTGAGACTTTTCATACGTTGAAGATCGATTATATAGATCTGAAAACGAATAATTAGGGCAAAAAAAAATTTTTTTATTGTTCGTTTGCCCGAAAACGTTTAAAATGCCAAAAACAGTCCAGGCCCTTCAATTTTTGAGCTACGAATGATTTTTTCTTTCAAAATTTTCGGAAAAATATGTGGAATAACAATTACAACCAATTTTTTGTTAAATTCACCTCTTACATGGCTAAATTTACTTTTTTTGTATTTTTGTTTACACAAATAGTGAATTTTTTTATATGAAAAAAAAAAAAAACGAAATCAGCTGTGTAGAAGTCGAATTCCAAAAAACTGGCTCGTAATTGTTGTTCCACACATTTTTTCGAAAATTTTGAAAAAAAAAAAATCTGTTGTACCTCAAAAATTGGAGGCCGTGGACTGTTTTTAGCATTTTAAGCGTTTTCGGGAAAACGAACAATTGAAAAAAAATTTTTTGCACTAATTACTCGTTTTCAGATCTATATAATCGATCTTCAACGTATGAAAAGTCTCACTCCAATAATCCACTATTTTTAAAACTCATAATATCATCTCCCCTTAATCAAACCGAAAAAAATTACATTTCTCCCTAGAAAAAAATTGTACTCATTCTATCTACTTAGTTATACCTTCGACTGCAATAAGTGGAAAAATTTCATATAAAGCTTCCTAGAAATATTTTACAAAGTGATTTTTAGAGAAAACATGAAGAGATCACCTTCATTCTCTACAAAACCCCCTAAAGAACGGTCTCTTGACAAACCCTCCCTTTGAACCTCTTCCTTTGTCGAGATATACTCAAGAAAATCTGAAGATCTCTTCTCAATCCATCTCCTCTTACCTCGCCCTTAACACCTGAAACTATTTTCCCCAATCGAAAATCTATTCGAACCCCCTTCATCTAACATTCTTCCTCTTTCAAACCCCAGATGGACTTGCGAGAGATTGGCAGTGGGACGGGAGATATAAATCTCGGCAACCTAGTTCTACAGATTCAAAAACTTCGAAACGTGGCTGCTCCAAAATCTAACGAGGAGTCTCGTGGAGCCCCTCGCATGCTAAAGCTCTACCTAACAGATGGAAAGAACAACTACCAAGCTGTTGAACTCGACCAACTTCCCTCTATCTCCCTAAACACCCCTCCAGGGACTAAAATTCTTTTGAAGGCAGGAGGAGCACCAACATCCCATGGTATCATTCTCCTCAAGCCCTTGAACATTTCATCAGTTCTGGGGGGAAAGGTTCCAACGTTGATAGAGAAATGGGAATTGAATCGTACATTAGCGGTTCACAGTCGAGTGAGATCTGCAGAGGAGGGTGGGCCACCTCCATGGATTCCCTTCGGAAAGAAAATTATCAAAGTAACTGAGCAGGATCGAAATTTCAAGGCATTAGTTGATAAAGATACACCAGCCAAAGACAACAGTGAGTTTGAGGCTCAGAGGCAGGCAGCTGTGGCTGAGGCAGCTAAACAGGGTAGCAAGAAGGTCTTCGGAGGAGGAACAAAACAATTATTGGATCACAGTGTTCAGAAGATTGTAGACCAGGGATTCTCCATTGAACAGGCTGAATATGCACTCAAAGTCAATCGTAATAATACAGATCGAGCGTTGAAATCACTTCAGCGGAATGAGAATAGGGGCAATGGGAACAGAGAGACTCGAGAGCCTAGGGAGCCTCGTGGCAAGAGGTTTGAAAAGAAGAGCGAGGAGACCAAGCCCAGTAGTGGAAAGGTCTCTTTGTTTGATTTCCTCGAGGATAAACTCCCTGCGCAGTCTGAGAGTGCTGATACTGGAAATACTCAGTCGAGTGATAGCTACAATTCAAGACTGGATAATCATGTGGAGAGGTTCGAGGGCAGGGGATATGATGGGCATTCTTCTAGAGGTGGAAGGTAAAGTTTCTGGATTGTCTTTAAGGGTGAAATCATTTTTTATTGGACGCAATTGTTAAAATTTGGACGGATCTGGTGATAGGACATGAGGGGAAAATTGATATGCAGGTTATCATGAAAAATGAGTGGGTTTAGAGAAAAAATTCGAGTGTTTTTCTTTTGTAGCCATTAAATCATTCAATTCCGAATAATTATGGAAGTGTGTCAAAGTTTTTCAATTTTAAGAAGTAGGTAATGGCTCATGTTTTCCGTAAAAATTTCAGTCTTTAATAATCATTTTTCGATTTATCTTGGGAAAGATGTCAAGCATGTTCAGAGGATAGAGTGTAATCTCGTTCAATTTCACCTTTTCAATATTTTCGATTCCATTTATCCTTATCCCACTCATCTCAAAACTACCTTTGATCCCATGAAAAATTTTAATTGCCGCAAATAAATTTCAGGGGACAGAGATCAGGCAGAGGCAGCTACCAAGCCCCCCCTCGTCACTCCGATGACTCTCGATTTCCGAAACGCAACACCGAGAACTACACCACGAACAATGCCCACCAAACTCGTCCCCCTCGCTTCCAACGATCTCAGGATCAATACCACCCTCAAGAGCAAAATTCCAAGCCTCCCTTCACCAAGAATTCCTACCAGCAAGACCGAAGGAATCCCCACGAATCTTCCAATTTTCCCAAGACCTTCAGGAACCAAAACCAATCCCAGAACGAGCCTGAACCTTTTACCCGTCAGACCAATGACCCCCAATCCCAGTCATCCCATGGACGATATAATAGAGGGCAACAGGACTCTGGCCCGAGGAACTACAACTCTAATACCTCAGAAAATAGAAATCACAGGAATCAGAGTAAATACGATAACAATTCAAGGGGAAACGAGAATAGCAGGAGTGAGAATGGGCCCTGGGTCTGGAAGAAGGGAGATCAGTGTCTGGCAAAATACTGGGAGGATAATCAGTACTACAATGCTGAAGTGACAGCAGTATCAGCTACAACCTGCGTAGTACAGTTCAAAGACTTCAACAACTACGAAGAGGTCCTGCAAATCGACTGTCTCCCCATAACCGAGGACTTGGCCCCCAGTTTTGGAGATCACCAGAGGCACGACCAACGCTCACATCGATCTCAACGTCATGACAATTACTCAGGAGGAATGGAGTTTCGTAGAGGTGGTGGAGGGTCTGCTGGGGCACCTGGAGGTAAAGGATACCGTAAACGAGGCCCTCAACGAAGTGCCCAACCCATCTACCAACCCCCTGCCCAACGATCTACTCGTGACAACCCAAAGATCTGATGAATTTAATAGTAAGAAATTTAGTGATCAAATTTCGCTCAATTTTCCGACTACCTGCCGCATCCTTCTCAATGCTCCAGTGAGAGAATTTGTTGAGATTAATTTATTAGAAGTTCAGTATGGTAGGTAGAAATACTCTACTGATGGGTTGATTCTATTGCGAAGTGGTACAAAATAAGGGATGAGTCTACGAAGGAATTGGGTTGTTGCATGATATCTTTTTGTTAAATAAAATTATGAAATACGATATTTAGACGAAGAATATTAGATGTATTTTTTCAATTTTGAAGATTCAGAAAGTTACAGAGACTGACGGCATAATGCAGATGTTTTCAATCGCCAATTACTTCATAATTTTGAATCATCGATTGGAGTAAAAAAATGCATGCGTAATATTTTTCTGGCAATTTTCATATTCACCAATGAAGGAATTTTGTGCAAAACCCCAATTACAGTTTAGGGTGCATTATCCCGTGTTCGAACAAATAAGATTCATTGAAAACCCGTTATTCACCTAATACAATTTCCTAATAATTTTTATATGAAAAAAACTGCGAAGCTCTCATTGAATTTATGTCCATTGCATTGTATTTTCAAAAGGGAAAAAGTTATGTTATTCTAAATTGTTTTTTTGCAAATGAGTACGTGAATTGGTTGAAACACTGGAAGATTCACCCTATTACGACTTTTGTGAGGGAAGGTCTGGAAGAATTGATGAAAAGATATTTTTTGTAGGAAATTTGATCTATGAAAATGTCTCCTCATATTATCTTCTTAACGTATCTATTCCCGAGCTTTTTACACTTGGCCATAGAATTCAACGTGCGATTATTTCTCTCAATTTTATAAAGAATTATTGATGTTCGCAGTTGAGCAGTTGAGTTGAGCAGTTGAGTTGAGTATGAGAGTTGTATACCGTCGTAGTGATGTAATTATTAGATTTGTTAAGATTAGGATGTGAAAAAATTGAGATAATTAAATTGATCAATTGAAAATTTGTTTTTTTTCTTATTCGAGTTTGCGATCCCATTTTCGGTGGACGAAACAATTCAATCAAAAACGCTAGAGCGTTGACTACAAATGTATTAACATTGGACTAACATTGAAATTCTATTATTTTTTTTGTAGGTTTCCGTTGAAAATTATGATAGTTTGTCGTTCGGTTTTTCAACATACTTTTTATGGAAAGTAGTCAATAATAGATGCTGTTTTTTCTACTTATTCTGCTGAGATTGTTTCTATAGAAAATCATGAGCCAAATGAGCTAAATGTTTAAAAAATGTTGAATATTTTTCTTGGTTGAATGTTTATTAAATTGAGTTTCCCTATTCAGTCTTCTGATACGTGTTTTTCCTTCTATCAATGTTGCGGTGTAATTTATATGTAAAAAAATTCAGCTACATCTATCACCTTTTAGCAATAAAAAAGGACTTCATAATTTTTTCGATACAAGCAATATTTCTCGAGTTATGATGTTATAAACCAGTACTCACCCAGTGACACCTCCAATTTTATATTTTGTATAACTTTGGAAACAATTTTTTTTTCTTTTTCGTCACGTTTTGGGATATTTTAGGGGCCTTTCTACAACATACTTAATTTATATCAAAATCTAAAAAAAAATATTTTTTTCTCATTGAAATAGCGTGGAATGCCTCATAGCTGTTGTTTTTTAGGTAGTTAGGAATAGATGGCAGCACCTTATAGATACGACGGAGGAGTGGCATCGAACGCGTTCACAACCAGTAAAACGCAGGTATCGTAACGGTAACGGATAACCTACGTTGACTTGAAAAAAATTGTGAGGGTCAACAATGTCGAAACGTTCAAGATTGGATGGCAAGTAACAATGAGCTATTATCAAAACTTTATAATGTTGAATATATAATTTAGCAATCATAATGAGATATTTCATAAATTACAAAGGGATTGTTAAGAAAAACTTTCGTTTCAAAAAACAAGATTTTCATTACATTTTTTTAAAGATAATTTAAATAATTTGATTACTGACATAATAACATAAATCGTCAAAGAAATTCAGTAACGAAATGAATGAAATCAAATGAGTCAACTCAACTTAGGATGAATGTTGGACCACGTCTTCCATTTTTGCACATTTTGCAAGGATTTTGATTTGAACTTTTCAAGAGTGAATTTCATTGTACATTTTGGATCATTAGTCAATAATTGAAAAATCTGGATAAAATCATCTGTTAAGGGATCATTCTGGTTTAAAATTTTTCAAAAATCGATTTTTTTTTTTTTTCATTTTCGGAAAGGATACACATTCAAAAGTATTGTGTAAAATTTTTAGAATATTTGGAGATGTCTAACTATGACTAACTCGGACATTTTCTTGACCGCGGGACGCAACTGACCTGCAGCCCTCTTACTACCTGTGCGCGCTCGGCCGACCCGTCTCTTGTCTAATCCGCTTTCTGTTTCCATTCATTCAAACAGCTGCTCAGTTCGGTTTTCGTTAGATTTTTGAGAAGCGGCATCAGTTTTCTCTCCGAGGTTGAACAAGCAACATCAGTACGCACACTATTTTTCATTATGGACCAAAAATCTACAAAATACGGAAAATCCCGTCCTGGTAGACCAGGTAAAAAACGCAAGTTTCAAGGAAACCAGCACAGTGATGAACGCGGAAGTCGTGAAACAAGTAAGTCGGCTGAAAAATTAAAAAAATCGAAAGATGCGACTTTCGATGTACATGTTCACCAAACATCCGGTTACAGTATTATCAATTTTTTTTCGGTGTTTTTGATGATCTCAAATTACATAAAATGTAAAGACTGCGACGGAGAAGTTTCGTTCACTAAATATGGACAACGTGGGTTAGGTTTTAAACTGTGTTTGAATTGTGCTTGTGGTGAAAAATATATTGACTCGTGTCCGATGATTGGAACTGGTTATGAAGTGAATCGTCGTATCATATAGAAAAATTTCCATTTTTTGCGATTATGAACTTTTTTTTATAAATACTTTTTAAACAATCAACTTTCTATCCTAAAAATTATTTTCTCGTGAAAACATGAATCCGTGGTGGATTCATAAATTCCGACTCCGGTGAATTTTTTGGTAAAATTTTATAATACGTAGTTTCTGCGTGCTATAAAATTTTACAAAAATAAAACGACAAAATTTTTTGTAAAAAAAAATAATAAATTTTATAGTACCGTTTAATTTAATAGTACCGATTAATGTGTCCGTTGCCGGAATATGGATGAAACATGGAGATCATTACTTCAATAACTCCTACTATTAAAAACTGATACTATTCTGGCGTCAGACAGGCAAATATCTCGCACATTTTATGCTCCTATATTCTATAGTTTTCTCGATAAAAATAATCATTCCCACATTATTTTCATGTTCCAGATATATCAGGTCATTTTCTCGAGGTAGGAGTGAAAGATGAGATCGGTGATGATCCAGAGCTGGTACACGAGGAATTTGTCATCGGAGGTGAAGAGCATAATGTCCAGAATGGCTCTACCACGAGCACCGGCTGTTGTATCAACTTATGGACCCCCGAAGCCACCCACTGCTTAATAACACTCTACAAAAAGTATATCAACGAAGTGGGACGACCGCCGATGAGAAGCATGAAGGACATGTTTGAAAAAATATCGGGTGAATTGCGAGTCCTGGGCCATGATTATTCGACTCAAAAGGCGGAGAACAAGTGGAGAGTTTTGGAGAGGAAGTACAAGAGGCATGAAGCTATGATGGAAAAAACTGGGGGAAGAATTCCCACTAAATTGCGAAGGAGTATGTATTTCGAGCATAAACAGGAATTGGATGATATTTTCGGGCCAATTGCTACAACTGCCAAAATACCAGCAATTGGTACTAACGCTGAGACGATGGAAAGTATTGAGAAGGTAACGCAGGCAGAGGACGATGGTTTACCTGAGAGTCAACCTGATGATAAATCATCTGGGGATTTTAATGCCAAAATCATAGAAAAAGTTGTAGACAGACTGTCATCACGTTTAGTAATATACTTTGCCCAGATGGAGAAAAATAATGAGAGGAGACATGAGGAAATTACCGCTATAAGACTGAACGAATTGGAGATACAGAAACAGATGTTGGAAGTTAAGAGAGAGGAACTTGAGCTCAAAAAACGGCAGATGAATCTCGGTAAAGAGGGAGAGGTGAACCCGATTGAAGAAACTATTTTATCCTGAATATTTTTTATGAATTGAATAATCGATTAATTTGTGTTGTATATATCAATAAATTGTTACATATAAGTATTAGGGTGGCCGTTAGGGCATCCGTTCCGGAATTTTCCATGTGTCGCCCCCTCAAAAGACTCGAAATAAATATAAAAAAATCCTCGAAATTTCAGCTCTTTACCTCAGTTCTAAAACGCCCCCCGAGAGCCTTATTTTTTCCCATAAGAATAACACGGGATTTTCATTGAAAATTTGAATCTATTACCCCCCTCCCCCTGTTATGTAATTAAAAAATTTATAATCATGGAAAATTATTGAGCAAATGAACTACTTTAGACAGAAATTTTTCGTTTTTTGTTCACATCGTATAGAGAGCAATTATTATGAGAAACGTTATTCTCGTGTTATTCTTATGAAAAAAACAAGGCTTTTGGTGGCGTTTTAGGATTGAGATCGATCTGAAATTTTTAGAGAATTTTTTAAAATGATTTGTTTATTTCGAGCGTTTTAACGAGATGACACGTCAAAAATTCCTAACGGGCACTCTAATAAATACGTTTAGCATAGAAAGAAAGTTGTTCCGAATTGATTTTTTTTTCTTTATAAAATTAGCTTTTAAATAGATAAATTAATTCTAATAACTCTGACTATATTTATTGAATATTTTTTTAGTACACGTGTTGAAAATTGTAGAATACCAACAGATTATGTTTGAATATTCACCTGGAATTTTTTTCAATCTTTACCATTTAATAAATGCGTTTATTTAACATAATATGGCAGTTTAACACTATATACAAGTTTTGCTAAGGTGTAGTAGCAGTCTCAACCCTTGGCGTCTTACAATATCGTGATAGTTGTATTTTATTTAGATAATAGGACGATTGTTTCCAATGGAAATATATCCTAAAATAGGGAAAAGCAAACAGTAATTAATTGTAGCCCGTTGCCCACCTTGATATTTACCGTGGATTGATGTTATTTATGAGTGAATTAGAGTGAGTTTTCAGGTTTACTTCAAAATTATTTATTAATTGATTGATGAAGTCGTGGATCATCTTCTGTATTGGATCTATTGTACAGGGAAGAGGTGCGGGTTCTGTAGTAGGCATCATTTATAATACCAAGCATTTGTTTTGGGTGCTTTGCAGCTTACCGGTGTGGGTGTGGGTTACATTATGTCAAACCGAGAAACCATAAGGTATTACCAGCTTAACTAATGCCTAATACAATTTGAATTTAATTTTTGCCGACAGGAATTTGGTTTTGAATAGATCGTAAGGTCTACCCATAACGGGTTTCGCTTTGTGATTCGCGATACTTATGTGAGCGATATAAAGATTGAATAGTGCAAGGGTGACCGAAGAACTTTAACCCAAGCTTGGTCACCCTTAGAGGAAAACGCCACCGCGCATCGTTTGCCTTTAATTACAATTGAGTGGCTAATCGAAAAATTTCAAAAAATTTGACTCTCATTTGAACTGTCTAAAAAATTATAGTAGCTTAGAACAAAATATTTCCCAAAATTCCTAATGAAAACAAATTATGTCGGACAGATGAATTATTTTTTTCCATGTTAAATGAAGTTGCCCATGACGCGACGTTGCCGGAAGCTCGCTAAACACGCCCGGGCAGTGGAGAGTGAATTCGGTAACACTAAAGCCTAAATATTACGACGGGGAATCCCCGCGCAGGTAATCAAGTCACAGGGTCGCCTATGGTGACCAGACTAGGGTTAAGGAACACACCTGCCACGATGGATTTGAGGTTGGACGGCGAAGAAGCAATTCGAACTCGTATCTGACGATTTTTCAACTACGAACGAAGGAGCTTGCACGTAATTCGCAATATTGGATGAAATTAATTGAGAAATTGAGCCCTCATTAGTGATGCCGCGAGACACTTTACGAGACAAAACTTTGGAGAGATGATCTCATTCTGAATGAACACGGAAATCATTGCTCTCATCTCAGTCTCCGAGTCAATTTATTGACTCTGGAAACAGAGAAAGTCAATTGACTCTGAAAACGTAGTCGGCTCTTGGCCAGTGTTTGGCAGCCAGTTCTTGACCGATATTGGCTGCCAACTAATGGCCATTGCTTGGTATCCGATTCTTGGCCGGCATTTGGCAACCAGCATCGGCCCAACGTTATCGAACCCGGACCTTGCCAAGATTGGGTTACTAGAAGCCAGTATCGGTTAATAGAAGGCACCCAAGGCTTCGCGTACTGGCTGCCAGATTCCGGCCAATATTGGCCCGTTACAATTTTCGGCCCCGGGGAGGGTAGAGAGATGGTGGCTTGGGAAACCGTATTAGAGTATTAGAGAATGCGCATAAAACTTGCTGGTGGGTGGGAAGGTTTGACACTGGGGTCGCAGGTAGATTGCCGGGATTCCCGGAGTTCATTATTCATGAGTTAATCAGTTTGAACTTTGAAAGATCGTTTGTCGTATTTATAATTGTTTTATTATACTTGCAGGTGCTAGGGGTTAAAAATTGGTCGTAAAAATGCGTCAGATCCATATAAAAATTATGGGTCATGCAAAATTTGCGTAAAAACCTCATACGAATGGGGCTCTTTAGATGAAATCGGGGATTCAGAAAACAGCAGATGTCAGTTGCTTTCCATGACTCGCGAAAGACATTCACTTTACTAATTGATTTATTAAAGATGCTTCTGCCGAGTCATAAACTGGGATTATTCCCATCAGTTTCCTTCTCTACAAGTAAGAATTTTTTCACTGTTATATTCTTCCTATTTTCACCATATATCGTATTTCAGGTGTCCTTCTGCTGTTGATAATCTGTTTGTTTCTCTTGCAATGGCGAAATGAAATTCGAGACTACTTGAATCGCAGATCAGTGATGATGAAATTTGCAGAAGAATTACCGGGTCCTCCAACACTACCCATTGTTGGAAATGCTTTGGAATTGATGGAATCTGACAGTAATTTTTAATATGAATAGAATAATGATGTCTCATTGTATACTTACTATTCCCAAAATTATTTTAATGATGACGAAAGTTGGAAAACTATTAAAAATGTAATGTAATGTCGCTAATTTCAATATTTTTCCTTCTTTAGGAACAGTGTACATACTGACTGAAATCAGTCGACAAGTGAGGGCTGCGACATATCGATTCTGGATGGGGCCAAGTCTAAAACTCATTGTGGCCGATCCACGTGATCTCGAGGTTATTTTTTAAATCAATTGTTTCTAGATTGTTATTGTGGAAATCTTCGTGTTTACGTATGCATGTGTGAGAGAGATTTTAATAGTTATTATCCAAACAAATAAATACTTTTTGTCTCTCAGATTATGTTATTGAGTTCAAAAGCATCGAAAAAAGATGATTTCTATGAGTTGATGCATCTTGCGGTCAGAGATGGTCTCATAAATTCATTTGGTAAATATACGAAAAGTAAACTGCGATTGATGATGAACCTCAATTAAAGAACTTACTGATTGTAATTTGCAGGTCCAACATATAGAGCTCATAAAAAATTATTTCTCAATTTCATCAACAATAATTTCCTCATGAAAATATACATAGAGCATTTCAATAAACAATCTCGTATATTTGTGGAACGTCTCGAGACTCAAGTGAATCAACCAGAATTTAATATGCAGGATTTCTTCGAGCATTGCATCGGTGATATCGTTTTTGGTATTGCAAAAATGCTGCAGTTGAAGTCAATTTATGTGCCGTTAATGATTGCCATTTGCGTTAATTAATTTTTCTTTCAGAAACTATTTATGGCCTACCGGGAACTGCGCAACGCGGCCAAGTGAGTCCTTTCTTCGAACTGGCGGACGTGTGAGTTTGAAACACTATAATGTTATTGTTCATCATTATAAAAAAAATTTGCCTTCCGGACTACTATTAACTTATAATCTGTTATGCAGAATTGAGTTTGTAGAAATTGGAAACTTCAAATCACATCGAACACGTGAGAATTCCCTCGAATTTCCCAGAAAATCCACGAATTTTCAAAGTTCAGAATGACGAAAAACTTTGAAGTTCCATCTCGGGTATCACCCAAGGCACTCATCAAGAATGCCTAGCTTTCCACCATCGCAGCGAAAATTCGGAGTCGAAAGTTCTTCTTGAAATTTTGGCTTCGGGCCTCGGTTAACTAATCAGATTAATGAACCCATCAGCAGTCACGTCATTTCACCGCGGACCTTTAGTCGCGCCGTGAGAGAATCTCTAAGGCAAGATCCGAGCTATCCATGGGACTGGTTTAGTTGCCGAGTATTACCGAATGCCTCACGGAACCGCTCGATGCAAGTGAGCCAACCAACTGACTTTAGTCACGCCGTGAGAGAATCTCTGGCACTCCTCGACCGAGCTCGATAAAACATTTTTTTATAATCTATTGAAACATGTTAGACGGTTTTTATTGACCCCAGACGAAAAAGGAATATTTGCTTGAGGCAATCAAAAAGTTTCAGTTCAAAATCTCGATTTTTTGACTATGCTCCCTATATCCTGAACTGTTTTGTAAGAGAAAATCATACAGCGCGCATTCTAACGGGTTAACCCTAGATTGGTCACCCTATGAGGGAAACCCCATCGCGCGTCGTTTTTCATTAATTACAATTAACTGGCTAACCGGAAAAATTGAGAAAAAAATTGACTTTGTCAGTTGAAGTGTCGAAAAAAATTATAGTAGTTTTTAAAACAACATATTTCCCAAAATTCCCAAAAAAAAAAAATTATTTCGGACACATGAATTATTTTTTCCCATGTTAAATGGGATTGCCCATGACGCGACGTTGTTGGGAACTCGCTAAACGCGCCCGGGTACTGTAGGGTGAATTCGGCAACGCTAAAGCCTAAATAACACGACGGGGAATCCCCACGCAGGTGACCAAGTCGCAGGGACGCGTTTGGTGACCAGACTAGGGTTAATGAAATTGACCAATGACGACGGGGGTGTGCTGAACTTACAATGTGTTGGTGTAGGGGGACAACTTTTTAGGGACCTCAACCAGCATGCCGGTTAAGATCATTGTTATAGTAGAATTGCACAGTAAACAATCCAGTGTGGACTTCTTGGGATACCATACATTGTTGAATTAACACCAGATTTTACACGCGATATCCTATGGTGCGGTGTTAGATACATTGGGATACCGAAAAACAGTGCAGACACATTGGGACACCGATCGGTCTCAATTTAACTTCAAATTTTTCACAGTGTGAGGAGATTGTGCCCCTCAAAGTTACCCCCACTTTATCCAATTCTCACTCACATCCTTGTCTTCTACCTCTGAAAACCAAAAACACAATCTCCTCAGTCTGAATGGATACTCATATTGCGGAAGAAATTATCGCCTTCCCCTTCCTAATTAATAACTCGTTATCAGAATCCTGGAGCCAAACATCGAAGAGGAACTTTCGTCCTAAATTTTCACCCCTGCCATCCCCTAAACTTTCCTGTATGTCTGATTTATGAAGGTTCATTTTATCCTACTATTGTCTAATATTCTAGGGCTTTGCATATCACGTTCGAACGTTTCATGAAGCCATGGCTCTGGCCTGATTTCATGTTTTTCCTCACTCCCAGTGGACGAAAATGTAGGAGGATTGTAAAGGAAGCACATGCGTTCATTGATAATGTATGTTGTCCGGGAAGGAAAATATTCCGGGGAAACTCAATCTCTAATAATCTTTGTAATTGTATTGAATTTTCAGGAAGTTAAAAAAAAGAGAGAGAAATTCAGAGCACTGAATAGAGATGTTAGGGATGACAGCTGGTCGATATTTGATCTTATAATTGATCACGTTGAGAGCACGAATGAGTGGACCAATGAAGAAATTCGTGATGAGATTATAACCGTTTATATTGGAGTGCGTTCACTGGATAGAATATTTGAGATTGGATAACTTCATCATTTTCTCATAAATTATGGTATTTATGTATTTCATTATTGTTATACAGGCGCATGATACACTGGTGGGTACTGGGTGTTTCGTGTTGTTAATGTTGGCAATGCACCCAGACGTTCAGGTAGGCAAATTCATTCCCTTCTGATGGAATTCTCGTTGAAATTCAGTCCATCTCAGAGACGATTGACAGTAGATAAATCGTTCAGTGTTTGAATTCAATATAAGAAAGAAATATGATGAAAATTGAACTATCGGGAAGTTTTGTAAGGTTTCAGTGAATTAATAAATAGTTAACACATCAAGACATTCGGTCCTTGGATGGGTTGAAATACTGCACGACTCGTCCCATAAAATGTGAAATACTACTAAATGCATTTTGCCCGGTATAACCACGAAAAACTTCATTTCTCCTGTTTTAACATTCAAAATGCTCCTTGCACAATAGTTTTCATAACATTTTAGCTTTTTTAAAATGTTCGTTGCACTCCAAACAATAAAGTTGAGCATCCGTTTTGCTTTGTTCGCAATAGATCATGAATAAACGAATGTTGAATTTCATAAATTTCCTTTTGACACCATCTTTTCGCTTCAACCTGCCATTTTTTGTTTCATAAAAATTGGATTATGCATAATTACAATGTTCAGTTACTAAAAACAATGAATTTTTAGTCCTACTCTAGAGACGCAAAAAATTGATGAAATTCAAAATTCATTTATTCATGATCTATTGCGAATGAAGTAAAACAGAAACTCAACTTTATTCTTTGGAATGTAACGAACGTTAAAAAAAGCTAAAATCGTATGAAATTACGGTGCAAGGAGCATTTTGAAACTAAAAACACCAAAAAATGAAGGCAAAATCGTTCCCAAGACCCAATGAAGACTTAAATTTCACTGACGTATCCCCTTAACTACATATTTCTCCTATTCAAGGAAAAAGCTCGAGAAGAGATAAATAATATTGTGGGTAATCATGATGTGACAGAAACGGAAATAGGCAAGTTGAAATACCTCGAGATGATAATCCGAGAAACGATAAGGTTGTTCCCGGTCGGTGCTGTGATAGGTCGAAAAACTACCGGTGAACTGAAACTGGGTAAGGACACAAACGAAGAGCAATTTGATCTATGAGGTCAGACAATTTTCTACAAAAGAGTGAAATTTTTTCCAGCTACCTGTACAGTTCCGAAGGATTGTTCTCTTTTCGTCTTGTTATATGCTCTTCACAGAGACCCAAAATATTGGATGAATCCAGAGAAATTTGACCCGGACCGTTTCTCCCCAGAGAATTCGAGAAATCGCCATCCCTACGCCTTCATTCCCTTCAGTGGAGGTTCTAGAAGTTGTCCAGGAAATAAATTCGCTTTGACTTGTCTCAAGGTGATCCTCTCACATACTCTTCGAAACTTTAGATTGCAAACAACACAGAATCTCGAAACATTGCGTGTACACACGCACATTTCGTCAAGAAGTTTAGAGGGTTATCAAGTTTCTCTAACTAAAATTTAACGTCAAGTCGATGATTAATTTTTTTCTTTAATATGTAGAATAGATCTACATATTTATCAATGCATATGTGAACAATAAAATTATGTAGCTGAAAATGATTGTTTTATTTTTTGTTAATTAATTCGCATCAATTTGATTTTGCTGAGGATGCACAATGTAATCTAGCTGTGGTGATGTTAACCCTAGTCTGGTCACCAAACGCGACCTTTCGACTTTAGTCACCTCCGCGGGGATTCCCCGTCGTATTATTTAGGCTTTAGCGTTGCCGAATTCACTCTACAGTACCCGGGCGCGTTTAGCGAGTTCCCGACAACATCGCATCATGGGCAATCTCATTTAACATGGGAAAAAATAATACATCTGTCCGAAATAATTAGTTTTTTTTTGGGAATTTGGGGAAATATGTTGTTTTAAAAACTACTATAATTTTTTAGACTCTTCAATTGACAAAATCAATTTTTTTTTAATCTTTCCGGTTAGCTAGTCAATTGTCATTAAAGAAAAACGACGCACGGTGGGGTTTTCCTCATAGGGTGACTAGTATAGGGTTAAAATATGAATCTGCAAGTACTGAAGTTTCGTACAGCAATACTGGTGGAATTTCTAAACTTGATAAAAAAAATGCACTAGTGCGCGTGAGGCCCTTTACGTATTCGAATTTAATTTACACATGACCTTGAATTCGACGAATTTCGTGTAAGAAAAAGAAGCCTTTCAACTTTCTCCCTCTCCGCGCCCTCAGTTTTTGTACTAAATCTGCTTGAGAAGCAGATTTTTGGGTGGTTTAGCTCCATTGCTTTCCCAATAAGAACGACTTTGATGACCCAATAACAAAAAAAGTATGTGTTTCGTGTGCATATGGCAAAGTCCACCTGTAGCAACTTATAACACAGTATGCTATTTATCCGTCCGCACTAAAACGTGCAGCATGAAGAACAAATGAAATAGTAAATCACGGAATCGATCTGTTAAATCATCGAAGCGAAAAATCGAATGGATTATATAACCTGATGAGCAAACTAACAGCCTCTTTTATTGATCAATGAACGGATGAAAAGTACCTTCTCCAGCAAGCTTTACTGATCAACTCACCACTCTGGTCTTAAAGTAATGGATGCAAAAAATTAGTAGACGAAATTTTAGTGAACATACATGAGGCATATACAGGGTGACGTCAGCACCTTGTTTACAAATTTCAACAAAATATCTCCTAAGGCGGGCAAGTAAGAAAAAAATGTTCGAAATACAAGTTGTAGGGTTTCGAGGGGGACATTCGATGCATACATTATTTTGAGCTTTCAAGATTATACTTGCAAGCTGTAAGCAGAAAGTACTTTTTTTCAAATGGTAACCGCATTTTTTACCCCAATGAAACTGGTTCCTCTTGATAAGATGTTTTCAGATACGTCATCATTCGTGTAATTTCCTCTAATTTTACTCGAAAAATGCCACAAAAGCGGGTTCTGCTGTTAAATTGAAGATTCAAACCTTTTTAGCGTGATCCAGGATGCACCGCGTAGAAGTAAAGTCTGCTTCGCATCCCTTGCGCTAAAAAAAAAGAAAAAAATTAGTGCGAAGAAATGTGGAAGTTTATGCGCATTAACAGATGTTCAATGTTCACAACATTGGCGCCACCATGCGCCAAAATCAGTGTATAGCTAATTTCTAGGATTGGGTGGGGTTTTTAATTTACTTTTCGGAACAAAATTGGAGTTGTTTTTTAGGGTTAAAGGGTAGAGGGGGAGGACTATGTTTTAAATCCTGTATTCGGACCCTTATACTGAAACCCTTATATTGTGACTTAGATTTTGACCCTTATATTGTGACTTTTAGATTTTGACCCTTATATTTTTACCCTTGGATTTTGACTCTTATATTTTGACCCTTATATTTTAAACTTTAGATTTTGATCCTTATATTTTGACCTTTGGATTTTGACCCTTGGATTTTAAACCTTATATTTGGACCCTTGGATTTTAACCCTTGGATTTCGAATCTTATATTTTGACTCTTATTTTATGACCCTTAGATTTTGACCCTTAGATTTTAACCCGTATATTTTGACCTTTAGATTTTGACCCTTGGATTTTAACCCGTATATTTTGACCCTTGGATTTTGACCCTTATATTTTGACCCTTGGATTTTCTCTCAGTATACTGAGCGTATATACTTTGAGTCCGATTTAATGTTGAGCAAAATTGTGCCAGAGGTTCTTGAGTATTAGGGTGAGACTATTGAAGTTTCCTTCGAATGGAAGATTTGTGATCGTTCAAATTTAAGTTTTGGATTTTGTGTGTTATATCAATCCTTGATGATTCAAAAAGTCCGAAAATTTACACCGTAGGGAAGATTACGATTCCTTTGCGCCACTATTTGACATATGTTTTCAGTACCATTTTTCGTCAAGAATACGGGAAAAATAAGAAGAAAATTACCTCTCAATGAGTTTTTGGGATATGAGCATTTCAATCCTAATTTTTCTAGATATGAACATATCCATAAAGCTTCTTATACTTGAGACACCAATTCATGCGCTAACATTTCCACATTGCAAATGTGACTCAAAACAACAAAACTCAATTTTTTTGTTAGAGATTTTTTGATTAATTATTTTCTGAAAAAATTTCAACAACAATCGCAAAAATTTAGTCAACAAAGTCCGCAATAACAAAATTTTCAGTTAAAAACGTATTCAACCAAGAGAGTACCACCCTTGTGACCGTAGCGACTTCTTTTTTTTGTGTGACCTTTGTAGCTTTCGTGACCCTAGCAACTTCTTTTTTGTGATCCTTGTGACCCTTGTGACCCTACTTTAAGTTGGGAGAGCATCCGATGCGTAATCGGAAGGTCCCGGGTTCAAATCCCTGTCTGAATTATCCAACTTTTTCAGTAAGTTTTTCTTGAATACAAATATTGAGAATTATCCTGGTTCCCCTCCTACCCACTCAAAAATCCTATCCACAAAATCCTGTGACGTCACAATATGTGGGACGCAACGTAAAGTCTCGTCTTCTTTAAAAAATCTCCATAATTGAGGAGAAATAATGCAGATGGAATTTCTTTATTATTTCTTCCGTAATTCTAGGGAAAAATGGTATGCAAAACATATGTTAAATCGTGGCCCCAAAGGAATCGTAATCATGCCAGACCGTGTCCGTGCATGTGTGTTTATATACCAAAGTGTTTCTTCAATTATTCGCAAATGAATTGATGGAATTTAATCATTTTTCCCTTTCAAATGTAACCATAGATAAGCCTTATTCATCGATATTTATTAAAAATTAATTAGTATATTAATTAATTAGTATATCAATCAATTAGTATATCAATTAGTATATAATGTTTTAGAATTTTCGATTTTGTTTCAAAAATCGGTTGTTCCACGATAGCTCAAAAATAAAATGCCGGAGATATCTTTTAATATCGTGCTTCAAATTAATTCAACCATAGCTTCAAATATTCGTTTCAATGTCACCCTGTTGCAAATAGAAGATTATTACGACAGATATATTCGTTGGTTTGATTTTTATGATGATTTTTTACTAATTTTCAATTTTTTTTAGATTTCTCTGAATGTGATTTCCCTGAATGTGAATTTACATATCACGTCATTGATAAAATTCGGTGGTAGACATTCCTTCCTTTGCTTTTGACCCCGAAAATAGGCAGTGGCACTGTTTCCTGTTGTATAGAGAGCCTCAGCTATTGCCTTCATCACTGCTTGCAACGTCTTGGCTCGACAAGCCGACACCGAAGCGCAATATTTACTGTAAGAAGATCATGCTGTGTATATGGTGGTGTTGGATAAGGAATAATTGGGTTATATTTATTTGAATAGAACACAATTATTACCTCCGAGCACAAAATAATTATGTTTGTTTAGTATGGATCCTTACCTTTAAAGTGTTGGACACATCTGTCGAATCATAAGGAATTGAGGGTATTAGTCTAATCTAATTAAAAGAGAGAATATATGCTAAATGCAATTTAAAAGTTGATTCCATTTATTACTCAAGAATAAGATATTATCCGTTATCAATTTACATCTGATACTTTAATACCGTGAATCTACATCGAGTTCCTAACAATCATAAGGGAGAGAGAGAAAAGACTAATCTTTCTCTAATCTTCTTAAAAGACTAATCTTCTTTGCCAATCTTGAGAATTATGCTGATTGAGAAACGCGGTATCTATTGGTCTAGCGATTGTACTACGCGGTTATAGTGTAAGTTAATTATTTGTTTTAAGTAGGGGGCTTCGCCCCCTGCTCGCTCCGCTCGCCAACCCCGGGGGGGTTCGCCCCCCCCC